CTAAGGTAACAGAAATTCCTGTGAGTTAATATGTAACAGGAACTGTTTGGCCATAGAATTACGATTCTAGATGTGTTTTCAATTAGGTAGGCATTTTTATGTTGGCTAGAAAGGGTTTAAGGAGGGTGATTAAGTTGCCCGTCTTCTGACCTTTTTGTTTCCCATGCTCTTGCCACTCTTCGGAATATGAGTACTTGTTGGTGTTTGCTGTTCCTCTGTAGAGAATTTAAACATAGCTTAGGTTTGTAATTTGATCTCTAGAGGGTTTGACATAGTATGAGACCTCGTTCTGGATGGAATGGCTGTTAGAAACGGAATAAAGTCCAAAATAGTTCTAATCTTAAAGATTAATTATATTAAGTGGTAAATGTGAGAGGTTTAACTGGGGAGTGCAGCAGGTGAAAGAATCCTGACCTAGGAGTTAGGAAAATTACATTTTCATCCCTGCAGATTGTTTTTTGTTTTTTTTTTTCTCCATTTGATTTGCTGTCAGGCAAAAAAAATTAAACTTCTGGATTTCAGTTTTATAGCTATCAAATAAGGGGGCATAGACTTACCGGTTTAAATTTCTTTTTTTCATTTCTGTGGTTCAAGCCTGTGGCCTTGGTGTTATAAGGCTGCATTCTTTTTTTTTTTTTTTTTTTTTTGACCGGTAAGGGGATCGTAACCTTTGGCTCGGTGTTGTGTGCACCACGATCAGTGAGCACACCGGCCATCCCTATATAGGATCCGAACCCGCGGCCTCGGCGCTAGCGCTGCACTAGCGCTGCACTCTCCCAAGGGAGCCATGGGGCCAGCCCTATAAGGCTGCATTCTAACCAACTGAGCTGACCAGCTAGCTCCTGTTTTCATTTCTAATTTCTTTAATTCAAGTCATTCGTTGCCAGAAAGCTGAAAAGTATGGAGAAATAGGTTTATTATGAAAAGTAGTTTTTAAAATTAATAGTTACTATTAACAACTGCCTTAAAACACAAAAAAACAAAAATAAAAAAAATCACAATCTCCTTAAAACAGTATTGTAGTCTTCAAGTAATTTTATTAGTCTTTGGGGGGCATCATTTTCTTATACTTAAATGTTTATACTCGGGCCGGCCCGTGGCTCACTCGGGAGAGTGTGGTGCTGATAACACCAAGGCCCCGGGTTCGGATCTCATATAGGGATGGCTGGTTCGCTCACTGGCTGAGCATGGTGCTGACAACACCAAGTCAAGGGTTAAGATCCCCTTACCGGTCATCTTTAAAAAAATAAAAAATAAAAATAAATGTTTATACTCATTCCCATTAGGAACAGGAAAGATTTATGGTTTCGTACATAGTAGATTTACTAGAGGATTGACTGGCGTGCGTGAACCAGAACTGTTAGGTACAGCATAAGTGCAGGTGTTCTCTTAGCTATTGAAAGTTGGGGGTTTATAAAAGGAAAAAAAAGATTAAAATAGGATTTTTAAGGGTTCCTTTGGTGCATTTGCTATGGTAGGTTATAATGTTTTTGGATTTTATTTATATTGTATCAGGGAAACATTTGAAGCCTTGGTGCGCAAACCTGTTTCTGTTGCAGTGCAACTGGAAAGGTGAGCACTTTGTTTAAAGAATTGATTCTTAACTAGGATGTTCCCCATTTAAACTCTTCACAGTGGTTCTCAGACATTAGCAGACTTCGTAATGAGCAAGAAGGCTAGTTAAAACAGATTGCTGGCCCTTATACCACCAGGGTTTCTAATTGAATAAGTCTGGGATGGGGCCTGATAATTTGCATTTCTATTAAGTGCCAGATGATGATGCTTATGCAGTAGGTTGGTTTAACTGACTTGGAGAGTATGGTAGTCTCCCCTTATTTACAGACATATATTCCAAGATGCCCAGTGAAAACTGCGGATACCCTGTTATACATAGTATGTTTTTTTCTATACATGTGAGGGTATTTCAAAAGTTCATGGAAAAGTAGAATTAAAAGATAATACAAGGCTGGCCTGTGGCTCACTCGGTAGAGTGCGGTGCTGATAACACCAAGGCCACGGGTTCAGATCCTATATAGGGATGGCCGGTTAGCTCACTGGCTGAGCGTGGTGCTGACAACACCAAGCCAAGGGTTGAGATCCCCTTACCGGTCATCTTTAAAAAAAAAAAAAAAAAAGATAATACAAATCTTTCCATAAGCTTTTTGAAGTACTTTTGTACGTATATGATAATATAGTTTGATATTGATTAGGCCCAGCAAGAGATTAATAACAACTAATGATAATAATGTAGAACAATTATAACAATATACTGTAATAAAAGTTATGTGAATGTGGTCTCAGAATATACTGTGAGTAACAAACTGCAGAAAACAACCTTGGATGGGGGAGAGTACTGTATCCCTTTAGAAGAAGGGATCCAAACCTCACAGAGGACTGACAAAGTATAATCTAGGGGACACTTGTAATGGAATAGCATTACAATTGGGTACTAAGGTTGTTTGGTCTTTTTTTAATGAGTGGTAGCTCATCAGATTAACATAGCATCTTGGGAGACATTTTTTTTTTTTTGGAGGGGAGACATTTTAGTTAACATTGATAGATGTAAATGCTTTCTTTTCACATTACTGCTTTTTAAGCCTGTCTTGTGGCACATGTACAAGGATTTGTTTGTGGATGAGCCATAAAGTTCACATATCCTGAAAATTATGAGAACCAGTTTCAGGCTAATGAATTCAAATATATGTTTTCTGCAATTCTACACATAAACTTTTTTTACAGTTTGTATATTTATAAACTTTTACACATCAGTCCAAATGTAAAAGTAACTTATATGTCATGCTTAAACTGATCTGCTTTTTTTTAAAGTTACAGGTAAAAATTTAGAATTACAGTACCTCTTCTGTTGCTGTAGTCATACGTAATTGGCTCAAGGAACACTTTTTAGAAGCTCACTTTAAAGTTTTTTGGTTGACTGAAATTTGTAAAGGAAAATACAACCTCATGGCTGAATATTGAAATGTAAATATAACTGATTCATTCTTATTTGCACAGTGAGCTAAGTCCAATTGCAATTTTTGTTTTAGCTGATGAAACAACAGTTTTGTCATGTAGATTATTTATTTTAGTGTTGTGTTATGTATCAGATTCTTAAAATTCATACCTTGAAATTAGCTATTCCATGGTACTGGAGATTCACATTTTTTTTAAATTCTGTTTTTCCATGAACTTTTTAAGGTACTCTTGTATATATACTAGTTGATAAACAGTAGACCACAGAAACAAAAGAAATTCCGTAAGGAGTGAAATTTTCTTTCACCTGTTTTATGACATTAAATATTTAGTTGCTATAATAATTCATCTTTTTTCCTTTATCTGTATGGTTTTTCACTGTCAGTGAGTGGAGTAATGTGCTCCTTAATTAAAACATCTTCCCCCCAACTGTAGAACCTATTCTTCTGGTTTGATCAGTCATTGTTTTGAAAATAGCTGAGTCATCATCTTTAGTGTGAGTCTTCATGTTAGACTATTCACTTTCAGTCTGTATTATACATAAGAAAAAATACATGCACTTAAAAAGCTTAGAACCCATGAATCTGCTTACCTTCATAATCTTAGTATTTGACATTTGCTCACTTCTATTCGTTGGCCTGGTTTTCCTATATTTTCTTTGCCCAAACTGCTGATTATCAAGATGAATGTTTGAATGTAGACTTTTTTTTTTTGGAGACCCTTAAGAGGGGATACTGAAGTGTGTTCAGTTAACTTTTGTCACCTGTTGAGGTTGAAGAATTATGAGACAGTCACTGGTAGTGGTGATGATTCTATAGAGGCTTTCCCCATCCCAGTGGAATGCTATGCTTTGCCAAAATGTGTTAGATACAATAGACAGATACTTCTGTCTTTGGGGTTTAGGGCACAACATTTCTGAGGAACTCTGACTCAATCTGTCCCTTCTCCTTTCACAGGGCAGCAAGGCGAACCCCATCCCTACTCACTGGAGCTCAGCTTTGATTTTTAACCTCCCTTCCCCACCCTTCCAGAACACACACATTCCCATCCCAAAACTGATTTTATAAAGACATTTTAAACATAATGATGCAACTTGATGTGCACTACGCAAATGTACAGGTGGTTTTTTAAAAAATTATTTTCCAAAAATGGGACCTGGATTTAAGATGTAATTTTTAAAATTTCTATTTTTTCTGCAGCAGTTGGGTTAGAGGAGGAGGAACCTTTTAGCCTCTCATAAACTGACCTCTCTACTTCCTCGTGTATTTTTAAGATTGATTGATGATGTGGAAAGGGCTTTGCTTGTCTGCTACTGAGAACTTTACCCTTGCGGTTTTTGTGGAAACTGCTTTTGGAAAGAGAAAAGAAATGAACTTTACTGACTTGACATTTTTGCACCTCCCGTTTTTCTAATCTGGGCTATTTTTATTTTTGTTTTTTTACAGTGAGATTTTTTTGATCTTCAGCTACAGTAAGTTATTCCAATTTTTTTTTTACATTTTTCCTGACTTTCTGCTGATTTCCTTTTTATTGTTGTTAGTAGTTATTATTATTTATTATTATTATTATTATTATTATTATTATTATTATTATTATTATTATTATTATTATTATACTTATGATGGTGATGATGATGATGATAATAACACTGATGATTTTTAACCGGATTAAAATCGAGTTTTTCTGAATGTTCATAAGAATTTCTCCGACCTCCTGATTGACTTTGGAGTTTTGCATCTTGGGAGAGAAAGCGAAGGCATTAGCATTTTTAAGTGGATTGATCACATAAACCTTTTCTCTCCCAACCCCACCCTTGCCCTTACCCCTTCCCTGCACTGGAAAGAATTTTACTGGCTGTTAAGTCTGTGACTTTATTTTTCCTAATCTTTAACTTAACTGTTTTAGAGCATCTCTGGACGTCTGTATTTTTTATTTTTTTTTATTTTTTTGTTTTTTTTATTTTTAATATTTCATTTGTTAAATTTTTAAACTGTGCTGCAATAAAATGTGTGTGGTACTACTTAACACCTATGGTGGTGGTGGCATTTTCCCAGAAAGCCATCTTCCTCCTGTTTCCCTTGAAATCCCATCCTGCTTTTCCTGTACACTACCCCTCACAAACCACAAGCTGCAGCAACATGGATAACCAGCCTGGAGCAGCAGCAGCCAGGATGACCTGGAGCCAGGGGGGCCTTCGGAACAGATGCACACCCTTCCTGGGTGATGGTAAGAGGTGTGAGGTCCTCTTGGTTTCATTATAAATACTAGGAAATACACCCATTTAAGTTAAGTTGATGTGATGTAGCCTCTGGAAATGTTTGGATTAAGTCTTTGTGCGTGTATCTCCAGATGTTTCCCAGGGGAGGCCCCCTCAGTTATTTGTAAACTAATGGAATAATGTGAGTTTTTAATGAATTGACTTGAGGATTTTTGTCAGCACCACGCTCAGCCAGTGAGCAAACCGGCTATCCCTATATGGGATCCGAACCCGTGGCCTTGGTGTTATCAGCACCGCACTCTACCGAGTGAGCCACGGGCCGGCCCCACTTGAGGATTTTTGATAATTGGAAAGAGTAGCTAAAGTTTACCTGTGCTTTAGGATGAAAATGGCTTGTTTTAATGAGTAGCAGCAGCAAGACAAGGACATGTTAGGTAGTCCTTTTTCTTAGATTATTACAAATCAATAAACATCTTCTGTCATTTAGAGTAATCTTCCTTGGGTTTGTGACAGCATTTTTGGATTGTATTCTATATCTCATTAAACTTTAACATGAATCACACCAGAAGAGAAATGTTACAATATTAAAATGCTATCTCACTGAAAGGCTTTTAGATATTTGAGAAAAGGATAGATAGGCTTTTTAACCTCAGAAAGCAGGGAAATCTGTTTAATCTTTGCATGCAAATCAGGAAGGATCTGGGGCTGAACTTTTTTTCGTTGATGACTTGAGGTTCAGCTAGATATTGGGGAATCTAGTGTGTTCTCAAGGATGGTAGGAAAAGATGAATCCTTGTATATTCACAAGAATAATGCAGAGATTAATAAGGATGTGGATAACCAAAGAGTTAAGAATTTTAGCAACCTGTACTAATTGACTACAGTGGAATATGTATATATTTTTTTTTTAAAAGATGACCGGTAAGGGGATCTTAACCCTTGACTTGGTGTTGTCAGCACCATGCTCTCCCACGTGAGCCAATCAGCCATCCCTATACAGGGATCTGAACCCGTGGCGTTGGTGTTATCAGCACCACACTCTCCCAAGTGAGCCATGGGCTGGCCCTACAGTGGAATATTTTGGTAGTGATATTCGGGTTGCTCTAATAAGATTCCTAGCAGGAGATAATTAGAATGATTTTTTAAAGACGTATTCAGTGTTATGGTATTATATCATATATTAAATAGCATACTTGGTCTTTCCCTTACTTGGATCAAAAGAGTAAAGGAAACACCGAAAATACCCTCAAAAGGAAAACAGAATGGGGGAGAAACAGGTCCTAAAGTTATCTGGAAGAGGAATGCAAATCTGTTTTTTAAGTAGGTCCAAGTTTTATTGATGTCCTCTGTTGTATGAGAGCTGTTGCTCTCTGTCATTGTGTGGAAGCTGTTCACTATAGGTTCTGTTTGATTTATATCTTACTTTTTTTTTTTTTTTTTTCCCTTTTTGTCTTTTTTACTGACCGGTAACGGGATCGCAACCCTCGGTGTTGCGCCCGCACCGCGCTCAGCCAGTGAGCGGGAACTGGTCTCCACATGGGATCTGAACCCTCGGCGGGAGGGAGTGCGAGGAACCCGCGCTCAGCCAGTGAGCGGGAACTGGTCTCCACATGGGATCTGAACCCTCTCCAGTGCGCCGCCTGGCCGGCCCTATATCTTACTTCTTATTTTACAAATCCATTATTGTGTGGGTCATGTTCTTCTGTTTTGGGGATACAAAAAAGTATAACTCTGTCTTAAATGACTCACAGCCCACTGAGGAAGACAAGCACCTATCCTGTAGAAGCATACTGAAATGGGTACCTAACTGACTATAAGAGGTCGGAGAATGCTTTTAAGAGAAAGTGTGCTGAACTGAATCTTAGGTTATGGCCAGACCATAAAAATTAAAATGCTGTGTCAAGGAGTTTGTATTTTTATCCAGGAACTAATGGTGAGCCATTGAAAGATTTGAAACTGGGAAGTGACATCAGATTTTTACTTTAGAAATGTCATTCTAATAGAGTGGAAATGGCTTAGAGAAAAATGAGATTAGAAGTAGGGCATAAATAAGGACACTATTAAAGTCCAAGGAAGAATAATGACCTTGCTTGGACAAAGATAATGCTGATGGAATGAAAGATTTAGAGTATAAATTAGGAGGACTTGATGATAGTATGTGATAGGGTGTACAAGATTAGTGAGAGATTTGGCATGACTCCTGGTTTCTAGCTTCTGGTATGGGGATAGATGTTGGGGAATGTAAACAGAGAGCAGGCTAGAATTTGAGAGGGTGGGAAAAGTTCTAAATATTGATATTTGAGGTGCTCATGGAACATTCAAGTAGAGATGTTTGTTTATTAAACATGAGTGCTTATTCTGAAAATTATTAGGCTTGGGCATGTAGGAATGAGCAGAATGGATATTGTCCCCTGCTCTCTTGGTTATTATAGACTAATGACAGGAAGAAGTAAAGTAAAATTAGCACTTTCATAGTCTGGATCCATGAAGGAAATGAACAGAGTTCTATGATGGATGAGAAGATAGTAAGGGAATCTAATTTAAAAAGGAGGTGGGGGGATGCTGTCAGTAAGAACGATGGTAGAGCCAAGATGCCAGAAGTTGAGTATCATGTGAAAAGCACAAATAATGGGGGAGAAAACTTGGCTTCTGAGCATGAAATACTGCTGGAAGATACTCACCAAGAATGTGTAGAATAAGATGAAGAGGTGGGGAAGGACCAAGCATCATAGTGTACAGTGCCTTGTATAGCCATGTTTCAGATCTAGACTATCTTGGGCACAAGAGAAATTTGTTGAAGGATTTTGGAGAATAGAGCGCTCTGGTTTATTTCTCAGGAAGTTCTTTCTGGCTGTTACCTGGGGATGTTAGTGATGGGTGAGGACTAAGAGTGCAAGTAGGGCAGTATGTTAGGAGACCTATTAACAGTAGGCTAGTCTCTCAATCTCTTGAAGAAAGCAGTAATCCTAGGCCTAAGGATACTTGTTCTGATTTTTCAAATGAGTTTTCATTGTGTATTAACAACAAGCAAGTATAATTAGTCCAAAGAGGACAGGTTGAATTGAATAAGGTCTGGTTAGGCTCTAGAAAATTACTAGTTAACTTTTATAACACCCGTTGCATTAGACATAATCACTTTCTGATTTGGAAGGAAAAAATAGTAGAACTTGGCATTTATCCCTTATGGAAGTCATCTAAACACTTTACTTTGTGTCCATTTAATTTTTTTTTTTTTTTGTGGTTGGCCAGTATAGGGATCTGAATTGACTTTGGTGCCGCAACACTTTGTGCTCTGTAGTAACCAGCTAAGCTAACCACCCAGCAAAGCACAGAATTTAAATAATTTGTTCAAAGTTAGACATACCTAATAAGTGGTGGAGCAGAAGAATGAATTTTAATTTGGTTAAAGTACTTAAAAAAAAAAATTACGTTGGACTTTGAGTGAGTTTTAGTTGAAGACAAAAATTTATTTATGGTTTTTGAAAAAGCACCAAGAGGGATATGTTACTAAGTCCAGTGGTCCTTTTTCAGTTTTCATCTTGCTTGACCTGTTGTTGTCAATTACCCAGTCAAGCCACTGTCTTACTTAAAACATTTTTTTACTTTGCTTCCAGGTTTTTGTTGTATATTTCTGGCTGTTCCTTCCTCTTCTTTTGGAATGCCTTCTGGTTCAATCTTTCTACTTTTTTCTGTCTACACTCCTTGGGTCATTTCAATTCAGTTTCATGATTTTATATATCACCTAATAAGCTGATGATTCCCACATTTACATCAACAACCTGTACTTTAATGACAGAGTTACCTATCCAGTTACCGACCTGACAGCTTCCTTGAATATCAAGTATATCAACTTAAAAGTACAAAACTAGGCTCCTTCCCTCTATCCAGTTTTCTTGTGCACCCTTACCCTTTTCAGAGTTAATGAGACTTATTTTCATGTCACTTAGGCCAAAGACTTTGGTTGGCCATCCTTGACTTTTTTTCCCTCTCATACCTCACCTTTGGTCTTGTAGAAAATCATGTCATCAGCTTTTCCTTTAAAACATACAACCACTTGTATATACTGCCATCACTTGGTCCAATTTCAAGCCAACAGTGTGTCTTGTGCATTATTGCAGTAGGTTTACATTTTTGCCCCTCCCCACCAGTCTGTTCTCAAAGTGGTGGCTGGATTGAGCCTATTCAAATGTAGTGTTTGAAGAATGTATTGCTTAAGATTTTCTTATTGAAACTCATCTAATGGCTACCAGTTTTAGCACTGAAGTCAAAATTGTACTGATTTACAAGATAACCCTACATGATCTGTTGTGCTCCTTCCCTCTGATTGTTAATATACTGTGCTTCATCCACACTGGCCTTCTTACTGTGTCTCGAACACAATAGATATGTTGCTACGTCAGAGCTTTTCCTTGGAATTTTTTCCCATTCATTCATAAGGTTGTATTCTTCTAGGTTTTTACTCATAAGCCACCCAACCTTAGTGATAGCTTCCTTCACTTAGCCCTTCAGGCCTCTCTCCCTCTAAATACTCTTTAGCACTTACTACCAGCTCACCTCTTGTAGAACTTATTTTCTCCTATGTAGAGGCATAGATGTCTGGAAAGATAATATGCCAAACAATGAACATTGATTACCTCTGGGCAAGGAAGTGGGATTTAGGCTTGAAAGGAAACTTGTTCTATGTGCTTAAAGACTCTGAGTATTATGAATAATATAGTATTTTGCTACTAATTGAAAACTTAAAACTTTATTATAGACATACATCAACTCTTCTGATTCTGTGCCTGGGTATAAGTAGCATAACTGCTGCCTATATAGGAGGGGTCTAGTAAGCAGTGTTAATAGTTAAGTGGAATTAAAAAAACAGCCTTAAAATAAATTTGGCTGTGATGAAATGAGTCAAGTTAGCATTTGATGGCATAGGCTGCGGTGTTGTCTGTGTTGGGTTTGTGATCAAATTTGGAAGAACTTTATCATTTTGTGAAAATTTATTCTCCATTTAGAAAGC